ACACACACTGGAGCACATTTGAGGATCCACTGAGCCACACCTGCCTGGGATCCAACAGGTGACGCAGCTCTGGTGGTGCGCTGGTTACATGTCACGTTGCTGTCCACAAGGTCAGCAGTTTGAGACCCCCAGCCACTCCTCGGGAGAAAGACAAAGCTCTCTAGTCCCATAGAGAGTTCCTGTCTTGGAAATGCACAGGGGCAGTTCTACCCGGTCCTTGAGGGTCCCTGGGAGTCAGCACCGACTCGATGGCAGTGAGTTGCTTTGGTTTGGGGCACCCTGGGAGCTGTCATAGGAATGAAGGAACTTAAGTTATTCATGGAAACTTTCATTATATTGTCATTCATCCCGCCCCCCACCCCCAGACGTTTAACTCTTCTTGGATGTGCAGGACAGAACATCATCTGTGTAGGGTTCAGCGCTATCTCTCCTTTCAAGTACCCATCTCCCGGGGGGCTTGGAACGCCTCCCTCACAGATGGAGTGGGGAGCTTCTGTATTTTTACCCTGTGGGGGTCTGGGAGTGTTATCTCCCACAGATTAGGGTGGAGGCTACTGTATTTCTTTAATCCTGTGCTCACTACGCACACACAGTCAAAGTCTCGACTGTATGTTACGTGACACAGTCTGTACATCCTTAACTGAGTTTCATCCCGATGCCATCCGTGGAAGAGAAATCTGAGGGGAAAGCTCACGTTCACTGCTACCTTCTCCCAGAAACGCTAGCAGCATCCCTCCTGCCAAGCAGAGAACGCGGGAGTTCCCCGCAGCAGAAAGATCGTGCAGAAACGCGTGGCCAGCTGTGACTGGCGGGCAGCGCCGTCGAGCAAGGGGGCGCTGTAATCGTCTCCATGTGGGCATTTCTGGGCCTCAGCCTCTGTGACCCCACAGTAGTGTCTGTGATACTGAACAATACTGCTTTCTGCACAGTCAGCGTCTGTAGGGCAAGAGGGTGCTGGAACCTTGTACACGTACGTATGTATGTCTGGGCCGCTGCCTCTGTGACCCCATGGTGTTATCGTATTTGCGATAGTGAAAGAATACGACTTTCTGTACAGCCAGCTTTTAAAGGGCTTGTCTAACTCAGTGTTCTCTTGCCTTTTCCATCCCGTTGCAGACACAGGGCTGGGCGACTCCGTGTGTTCCAGTCCCAGCATCCCCAGCACCACCAGCCCCAAGCTCGACCCGCCCCCCTCGCCACACGCCAACAGGAAGAAGCACCGGAGGAAGAAGAGCACCAGCAGTTTCAAAGCTGACGGGCTCTCGGGTGCCGCCGAAGGTGAGGGACGCCGGGGTCAGGTGTGCGTTTCCGACAGGCGGACGCTCTTCTACAAGTGTGTGAAGGCCTCAAATACCCCAGAGTGAGGTCTCACCTCAGTGTCAAGATGGGACCCCACCGTGCTGCCCAGCATTGGTTGGCTGGGAGGCAGCAATGCTGGCTCCCCATTGGTGGCCCAACATGGGTCCTGTTCAGTAGTGCCCACCTCGGCATACTGGGCAGGGCGCCCATCCTAACTAGGTGTTTGCTTGGCAGTTCTCTGCTGCAACCAGTCACATCCATTCTACTACGCCAGCTGGGTCCTTTCTGGCTTCATGCACCAAGGCGGTGGGAAATGGCTCTTCCGTCACGTCCATGATTTGTGAGTTCTCTGAATGCAGGGACCTTGCTTTTCCAGCGTTCTGTTGAGGCCACTTTGCTTCCATGGGAGACCTGCGCTGGTACCTGCTCTTGCTACTCAGCAGGACCCCAAAGAGGAGGTGCACTCTGACAGAAAGCGTGCCCCACATCCGGTTCCCAGCAAGCCGTCAGAGGCAGCACCTGCCACCCAGCTCCTTCCCAGGAACTGCCCTCACTCGGCACCTGGGTGTCAGGCCCACCTGGTCTTGCACTGTGTCTGTGGACACCGTGGTCGTGTGGCCGTGGGTCGGGCGTCCTCTGGCATGGTTGCGTAGGCTCTTTCGGAAGAAGACTCAAACGTTGCTCCCACATAAGGTTAGGGTGACTGCTGCTTGGCTTGCCGCCTCTCGGGCTCGAAGGGTTTGCAGGGCTGTGTAGCATTAGGAAGCCCTGAGTACCTGCCGGTGTGGTGCGTCCTCTCCTCCTTTGATGGCCCCTGGAGCAGCTGGTGGGTTTGAAATGTCCACGTGGCGGTTAGCAGCGCAGTGCCTAACCCATAGCGCCACCAGGGCTCCATCTCTAACCAGAGAGAGTCCCTCATCCCATTGAGAAGGACCCTTCCCAGCGAAGCAAAGCTGTGTTCTCGGGTGGCTGGCTCTACGAGGCACGTCCGGAGCTGGGGGGACATTCCCACAGTCTTTTCTGAAGCCCGCCACACTTTAAAAGATCTCAGGGTATGCATCCCCGCCCCTCTCTCACGGGTTTACATCTCTGACATTGGGGTGCGCCTGACACTTGAGGGGAGGTTTTCATGTGATGAAATAGGATCTTCCCCAGCAGCCTGGGAGATTGTTAGGTACCACCAAGTCGGTTCAACTCGTTCCGCCCCACACACAAAACAGACCCCATCCTCCTGTTTGAGTCTAAGAAAGGGAGGTGTCCAGATGGGGCCAAGGCTGAGCACTGAGCTGCTAGCTGAAAGGTCGGCAGTTTGAGTCCACCCAGTGGCTCCTACAGGGAAAGTCCTGTCGAGCAGCCCCTGTCAGGACGGCAGCATCAGAAACTGATCCTACTCCATCACTTGCGGACACTAGCAGAAACGAACCCGCTGCCGTTGAGTTGACCC